CTTCGAGACCCTTCTTGAAAACAACAAGATCAAGCTGCCGCCCATCACAAATCAGGAGGAAGCTGATAATACTGCAGATCCGAAGTACTGCGCATACCACAGGAGGATCCTTCATCCCACCAAGGTTTTCTTTACTTTAAAGAATAGCATCCAAACCTTGGTTGAAGCCGGCGTCATAACGCTAGGATAAGCCAAATAAGAACGGCAACACTCCGAAGAGTACATGAGTATAAACTGCTTCTCATTACTCCGAAGAGTATACGAGTATAAACTGCTTCTCAATCCTCCAATCGGTATATGAGGTTAAACTGTTCCCTGATACTCCAATAGGTATATGAGTCTAAACTGTTTCCTACCGTTGACGGGAAGTTCCTGGAGAATGTTACGCTAATATTCTTAAGGATATAACCCGATCATGTAACCGAACGCAATGATAAACTCAGTTTCGCGAAGAAACTGGGGGTGGATGATTCATGTAACGGGAAGTTCCCGGAAAAATACTATATGTAATTCTCTTAGGGATAACCCGATCATTACAAACAAAGTGATAAACACTAAACCCCCATTGTGATTTCCGAACACTCTTTTGCTGAGACGAGATTCGATCACTTCCCAAAGTCCCCTCTCGATTCCTTCCATGAACGAGAGGTCCACTTTCAAATTGAACGATCAAGCCTGTAAAAGGTAAGATCATCTCAAACCTCCCACTTTCACTGCTTCCTTGGTCAAATCTATAAAAGTTAGGGCCACAACCAGATTCTCCTCTCGATTCCTTTCATGAACGAGAGGTCCACTTTTAATTGAGCAATCAAACCTATAAAAGTTAGGATTGTCTCTAACTTCACTTAGTCAAACCTGCAGATAGTTAGGACTAAGATTGAGTTATCCTTTTCGATAAACGAAAGACTTTCATCTTTTCCCTTTTTAGCTAAACCTATAAAAGTTAGGGTCGAAATCGGAATTTCCCCTCAATAAATGAGGAACTCTTTTCTTGGATCAAGCAACAAATCCTATAAAAGTTAGGGTTACTTAAATCTTTCCGATTCTCGGAGTGGAGATCCCACTCCTAGTTTCATCTTTCCGGATTCTGGGGGTGGAGATCCCACTTCGAGTTTCCTTTCCAACTGAAGATAGAATATAAAATTCCTCCTCTTCGGTGCCGGGAGATAAAATATAAAATTCTTCCTCTTCCATTTTGGGTTCGTCTTTATCCTGAGAAAAGACACAATTCTCAACTTCAAATCCGTACATTCTATGCACGGGGAATTTTATCCCGAATCCTGAGCAAGGATATAAGTAGGGATAAGTCAACGCCTAACTCGCGTTGCCGGTTTAGTCTTTCACCGATTGAAAAAGACACCAGAATCCAGTCTGGGATATTTTATCCCGAAGCCTAAGTAGGGATAAGTCAACGCTTAACCCGCGTTGCTGGGTGGTTCGTTCCCGTAAAAAAACGACCGAGTCTACGTATTCAGCATCGTAGCAACAAAAATCCATGCCTTTTATGCATGAGGAATTTTATCCCGAATCCTAAGTAGGAATAGGTCAACGCCTAACACGCGTTGCCGGTTAGTCCTTGACCGTAAAAAGGACAAAAGACCACATATTCAACATTGTGGAAGGTTGTTATTAATAACACCAAAATCCATGCCTTACACGCATGGGGAATGTCATCCTGAATCCTAAGAAAGGATATGCCGTAAAAAGGACAAAAGACCACATATTCAACATTGTGGCAAGATGTTATTAATAACACCATAATCCGTGCCTCACACGTATGGGGAATTTTATCCCGAAGCCTAAGCAGGGATAAGCCAACGCCTAACACGCGTTGCCGGTTTAGTCTTTTACCGGTTGAAGAAGACACCAGAATCCGAGTCTGGGGACTTTTATCCTGAATCCTAAGTAAGGATAAGTCAGCCCGACGTCTACGTATTCGAAGTCGTAACATCAAGTCTAAGGGAGTTCATTCCTTTAGCACAACGTCACATTCGGAACGGATGTAAACAATCCGCTTGCTAGCCCGACTTGAACGGTAGTCGGTAAAGGCACATCAAATCCGTTGAGGGCTGAGGATTTGCCAAAAATCCTAAGCCTACGTCTAACACACGTTGCCGGGTAGTCTATTCCCGTGAGAAAGACGAAGTCTACGTATTTAATGTCGTAGCACTAAAAGAGTTAACTCTTTTAGCACAACGTTATGTGCAGAACGGATCTAAGCAATCTGCATGCTAGCCCGACTCAAACGGTAGTCGGTAAAGGCTCATCAAACCCGTTGATGGCTGGGAATTTACCAAAAATTCTATAAGTGCGAGTCATTGATGCATCAACTCCGTTAGTTGGTCTCGTGACTCGATTATCCAACAATATTAAGATAAGATCCACAAATACAGATGAATCAGCTTTAACAGTTGGTCCTGCAGCCCCGACACTTGGGACCGCCGTGCTCCAATACCTTAAGAGCTTAAACTGTGTATACTCCAGTAAACGTACGAGTATAAACTGTGTCAACGTCGGGCGGTCTGAAACCCAAAGTCAACACTGAGCAATCCGTAACCCTACGTCAACGCCGGTCAACACGTAACCCTAGGTCAACGCCAGTCAAAGCGTTGCGATCAAAAAGTCAACGTACGACGGTTCAAAACCCTAAGGTCAACGCCGGTCAACGCGTAACCCTAGGTCAACGCCGCCGGTCAACGCGTAACCCTAGGTCAACGCCAGTCAACGCGTTGCGATCAAAAAGTCAACGTATGACGGTTCAAAACCCTAAGGTCAACGCCGGTCAACGCGTAACCCTAGGTCAACGCCAGTCAATGCGTTGCGATCAAAAAGTCAACGTACGACGGTTCAAAACCCTAAGGTCAACGCCGGTCAACGCATAACCCTAGGTCAACGCCAGTCAACGCGTTGCGATCAAAAAGTCAGCTCAATAACACGAGCCAAACTCAACTCATCAGTTGTAGATTTGAGACTTCGACGACGGCCAGACGATAAACGCAGCGCCGGAAGGATTTCAGCTATTCATCAAAGCATCGAGTAGACTAAAAATCGAAGGAGTCAAGAATCGAAGCTAACTACAGGTCCTTTACGCCGACTGAAGGCTAGACCAATCACATCCAAAGTATTTCAGCCTCTTCTACAAAAGAAACGAGTCTGGAATGCTTTTGAGCGGGTATCTGTAGGCATCGAAAATTGCCTATAGGTCTCCACGAACAGCTCAGTGTTAAGAAATAACGATGAACGTCACCATCTGGTTCACAGAAGCTTGATTGATGTTGGTGAACGCTTGAAGTAAACCGACGAACTACGTGAAACAACGGAACTTCGGAATAATGAAGATACGAACTGATCGGGAACCTCGTATCGTTCACAAACGGCGAAATACCCTTCGTGTCTCATTTGTTCAACTGATGATATAATCATTGGAGCTTATAGAACTCTTCGTCAGCTTTCCAACGCACTTGGAATCACTCAAATCCGAGTTCGGACGAAGAATTTACGGCGGAAACAATCAAACAGGCATAACGGAGCATCTCAGGCTGAACTGGGGCACCCGAGGTGTCTCGGCACAGGCGAGACACCCTTGGGAGTCTCGGCCCAGTTTGAGACACCCTAGGGTGTCTCCAACGTAGAAATGATCCTTTAGGCTGTTTTAACCGCCCGAAACCCCCTGGAGCCTATAAATACAGCCCCGGGTCCTCATTTTTTTCAGATATGGAATTCTCGAAGATTAGGCGAAGCCCTGCCGGATTGAAGACTTCAGAGAGGATGAGGAGTTAGATCTGCAGCCCGGTTCGTTCCTTAGGATTATCCCGTTGCGGTAATCTTAAGAAGAGTGATTATCTCGCTTCGCCGAGATAAGAGCTACGGTTTCTCGATCCCTTTTGCGGATAGACGAAGCTCTCCCCAATTTTTCAGCAATCAGATCTAATCGACGGTGGTCCACGGATAAACCCCGACACAGGCAAAGATCCCACGCAAGCAGAAGGCCGATAAACGATCTCTGCGTTTGTTTGATAAAGTTAAGCAGAAGGCCGATAAACGATCTCTGCGTTTGTTTGATAAAGTTGTAAACTTTTTATTTTCATTGTGTAAGGAGATCTTATAAAAAGATTAACTTTTTATTTTATTCGAGTTTATTGTAACGACTAAAGTTGTAATAGATTCGATAGCAATGAAGAAATCAACTTTCACCGCAAACAAGTAGTGCTGTAACATTTCCGGTAGTTATCGGTTCAAACCAAGTCAAAGTAGAGTCCACCGTGTTCGTGCGAATGATGAAGTTAAATTATACTCACAGTTGAGTGGGGGTATTTATATAAGCTCATATTGATAAACCTAAGAGCTAGTGATGGTCTTGAACAGAAATTTGAGCTTAATGAGATAGCTAGCTAAGTTTTTAATTAATTTGTTGATGGGAGTAGTGATGATGTTGTTGTGCACACTTACAGTATGAGATAGCTTTTGTTTGTGGGGTTGAAGTTAAGAGTACTACTCAATGTAGCGCCTGCATGCGCTTTTGTTTTGGCTCCATATATCTCTCTTTTAGCTCCTATACAACTTGTTGGCAAAAAATGACGGAAAGGAGAAGATGATGACATTTTTGTTATACCTATGGATGTTGCTTTGATGTAAGATGCAAAACTAACTTTTCATTTACCAAATGTGAAAGTTAGTAAATGAAAATAATATTCTTCATTGACCCAAAAAAAGATGCAAAACTAATTTACAATCCATTAATGCTCCATGTTTGTAGTAAAGTCCTAGGTACGTAAGGTTCTCTTCACTAGACCTAGATATCGTGTAGCTTTAAAATAAGGCCTATAAATTGATGAACAATTATGATAATTTACTCTGGTGAAACGTTAAAAAAAATAATACTACAATTTACATAAGATAACTATATACTGCTTAGCTCATAATGTTAGATGGCTGTGTGGATTTCATTGCAATAAATATGATCCACCGATCACCGTATATTTGCTAAGCTAGCTAGTTGAAAGGCTTACATCACTATAGTATCATGCAGAGACAACAAATTTAGATCACCTTCTTCCTTTTTCAGTTATCACCGCTTGTTCTCATCTTCAAATGCAATCATCACCCTATCTATATTATCTCCATTTCCACAAGCCACTACACGCTATAAATGCCCCCCATGATCGATCTCCTTCAACTTCATCTCAAACACATTCACTCTCGTTCGATCACCAAATAAATCAAAGCACTTCCAATCTCCATCAAATGGCTCCAAAGGCATCGCTCTCTGCATTTGCTTTCCTATTCCTTGCCATGGCTCATCTCGTGGTCCAGCCATCTCAGGTAGGGTGGAAACGAACCGAATACTATTTGAATAATACCCAGGTTTTCATGTTTGTATTCATTTAAAATCTTCGAGTTCGAATCCAAATACCCCTTTTTATTTTTCTTCAAATTAATTTGAATCTGAATACTAATATTTTTTTTTGGAATATTTGTGAATATTTTTTGAATATTAAAATATTTTTATTTGAAATTAATTTATGGTTTATGAAAATTAAACTATTAATTAAGAAAATACTTTTATCTTGTAATTAATGAAATACTTCTATTTTTAATTAAAGGGGTTTGTATTTTATTTAAGAGTTTAAATTTGTCTTAGAAAATTATTCATTTATATAACTATGATGTATAAATCCTTTATTTGAATATTTGTTTGAAGATTTGACTTGAAATCTCTTTAATTCCCTTAAAATTAGTATATTACCTAAAGTTAAAAAATCCAAGGTAGATGAAAAACATATCATCATGTGTATATATAATAACATAGTTACAATTAGTATAAGAGATTAAATTTAAATGAGTATAGTTAATAATAAAAACGAATCGAATATACTTCTGATCAAGTTCTTTCATCAGTGAGTTAATTGTTTGGTTCGTTTCCGCCCCTAATCACAGGCAATCAACTGTGTCGACGTCGACGTGGCTCTTCGCCAGTGCGTGCCTTATATTACGGGCCAAGCACCGAATCCTGCCAAAGGATGCTGCGATGGAATTGGACACATCAAGAGCATTGCGACGACCAAGGCGGATCGACAGGCTGCGTGTGGATGCATGAAGGCTGCGGCGTCACACCTCCCCGGGATTGTCGACAGTGCCGTGACCGCGTTGCCGGCTAAGTGCAATGTTCCGTTGCCTTACCCCATCTCTGCTTCCGTTGATTGCTCCAAGTGAGTTGTCTCTATTGCTTTCATGCTCGATTTGGATATCGTACATCTTGAACTTGGTTATTGTGTTGTTTATGGTATCTTTCTTGCATTGGTAAGTTACATGTTTTAAGTTATATTCACTGATTGCATCGATGTTGTATGCTGAACATGCTGCATTAAAATAGAAGAGTACACTCAACTTTACATTCTAAGAGCATCTCCAACAACTTCTCTATTTCTTACTTTTGGAGAATTTAGTTAGGTTTTTGGTCCAACAGATTCCTCATCTCATTCCCCAAAATAGGGATGGAGGAGAAAAAATATGAAAGTTTCCCCAAATCTGCAGCATTCTCCAAATTTTTGGAGGAAAAAAGGAATTCTTCAAAATGGGGAAGTTGTTGGAGTTGTGTAAAAATAATTTGGAGAATATGACTTTTGCTTCCCCATTTTGGAGAATATTTTGGAGAAGCTGTTGGAGATGTCCTAACACTTTCTTGTTCGTTGTATGTTCTTTTTATGGATTGAAATCTGAATTATTTTCCTTAATTATGCAAATTTCTACTTTATTCATATCCTTGTACACTATCATTGTTATAAGCATTAGTTATTTTATCAATAAATTTCAAACACCAACCCTTTCACATGAAAAATGAAATCTGAATTATTTTCTAGTTCTCTTTAAATCGACTTTAAATACATGCAAAAGGTTTTAAATTTGGATTTTGCTGATACCATCTTAAGACTTATTTTATCACATACAAAGACTCTAGCGTTGTCATATACGCTGAGGGCTATAATTTTATACCCCCGACGCTTTGTAATAAACAAGCTAATGAAAATAAATTGTAATAGTCCATTAAATAGTAAAATTATCACAATTGAGAAAGTGATAACTCTGTTCTCTAATCAGAGTAGGTAGAATCCGAATTCCACTATTTTTTTTCCTTAGAATTTTAAATTTCTAATTTTTTGCTTTGAATTGAGTTGGGACTCTTCATTTACTTTTGCAGGATCCAGTAATCTAAGAAGACGTTAGAGAGAATAAAAGCAGGGAATGGCAGTTCAAGCTCCCATGCGTTTTTGAGTGTTTTCCTCTTCGAAGAGTGACTAGTATTAAAAATAAGTGTACTTGCGGAGATATTCCACATGAATTATGGAGCTGAGAACGTTTTCGCTTTTAGCTACGTACGATGTAATAAAACAATGTACACAATAGAAGAGAGTGGTTAAAATTAGAGGTGTTGTTTCCATCTCTGTGCGGTATGTATCTTTTCTCATCATATTGTGATAGTAATTTATTATGTCACGGGAGCTTCCTCCCCATCCAGGGGGAAAAAATTCAAGAATGTTAGTACCCTTCGTTGGGCCTCAAATAGGGTTGTCCAAACGGTTCGGCCCGACAAATCGGGCCCGGGTCGGCCTTGTTATTTTTTTTAATTTTTTAATTGCAAGAGTACATAACAATAAATTAAGCGAAATTTTGATAAAAAATCAATCATATTATTAATCACTTGTAATTATATAATTTACAAATAAAAAAAATCATAGAAATTAAAATAATAAAAATATTTTTTTTATTAATAATCAGTTAATCACTAATAATTACAAATTTATTTTTAAATTTATCGTATCATAATAGATGAATACATCCAAACTTGGTTGACATCTACTCATCTATATCACTATCATTTGCAACTCTTTACAAAATAATTTATCAAAAATTTTCAGGTAAGAAATAAAAATTACAAACTAATGAATAATCTCTACTCTTTATCTCTATCCGCTAGTCTCAACTCTTTAAATTTATCTTCAATATTAGTCATCCGATCGATGCCTTGAGTTCTCTTCTCGTACACCTACCAATCCTCTAGGCACATTACCGCCTGTACGGTATACGAATCTAACGATGTCCTGTGGTCGTCGATCAAACGTCTTGCGGCGCTGAAATAAAATTACGAAGCTATCGTGGAAACCTGCACTGTTAGTAAGTCACGAGCCATGATGAAAAGTATAGGATATGAAATTGTTATATATACTCTCCACCATTACAAAATATTAAAACTATTATTTTAACTTTTAACTAAATATGTAGTTAAATATTGTTCAATTTCAGAAACTTCCATTGATGATCTAGATCCAGATCCAGATCCATCAATTAGCTGAGCTATCAATAATTCCATATCAAAACTCTTACCTATGCTTCGACTTGAACTCGTAGAAGCAGAAGATATAGACTAATGTGTACTTACACCATATCTAGCTGCATACTCATCATATAATCTTTGAAAGTAAAATTTAATAGTATTATGATGAGTAAGAGCAGTAATAATTTGACCATCATCAGTGTCTATTATCATATTACCATACAAAGAATTTAACAAACTTCGAAGGCCAACATCCTTCAAACATGGGTTAATAAAAACCCCTAAATCAAAAATAATAGGAATATGCCTAAAATACTTATTAAATTTACTTTCTATTTAAAAAATCATATTTCTAAAATAATTATCCATACGATAATAATTAATTTTTTTTGAATATTTAAAACTTGTAAAGCAACTTGAATAATAGTTGGATAATAACATAGTAGCATTATAAAAACTTGTAACATCTCTTTTACACTATATATATATAACTGATCATTCATCCTCAGTTATTCCATACATATTATCAGAGCTAGAACTATAAGTATAGAAAGTAATAAAATTATTTATAATTTCTTTATACTTTATTACTACATTTAACATTGCATAGATAAAATTCCACCTATGGTAAACATCTTTTGGAATTAATATGGGTTTAGAAAAATTTTCTTTTATATAATTGTTTTTATCTTTTAAGTCTTTGTTCAAAAGCATTATGAGCATAAGTTACTGTTCTAATCTTTTCTATCATGGATTTAATTTCACCAAATACACTTTGAACAATTAAATTTAAAATATGACACGTACATCTAATATAAAAATTACCATCATGACATGGCAATAGCAAAGATGATTTGTGATGCAGTATAATTATGTACCAAAATTACAAGTACACAATTAATCAAGTTATAGTATAAAAAGTTATCGATCCCACAAGGAAATTGATTTTAAGAGATTATTAGAATAGGTTCTTGTGTTGTGTGCGTGACAAAATAGGATTAAAGAATAAGTATGATTGTGATGGGTGATTGTTGTGAATATATACAAGAGACAATAAATTGAATTTTAGAGGAGAGGAGAAAGAATTAAAGAATAAATGAAATCACAAGGCTAGAAAGAAGAATGAATAAAATCAAGAAATAAAATCAAGAATGAAAAGAGAATTCAAGAAAGTCAAGATGGAGAATTCAATTTAAGATATGAGAAATCTAAAATTTAATCCACTAGCTAATATCAATTACAAAATATAAACTATTCTCTTTTTATCATATTTCAACTTAGATTTATTAAGCATATACTATCAAACCATTTAAGGAAAGTATAACCTATTAAATTATTATCTAAGTTAAAATTACTATTCATGATAAAAATAACAACAAGATAGTAATCCTAGAATTCATAAGCATAACCTATCAAACCATTTAAGATAAGTACGTATAGATTATCAAATTATTCTTCTACCGATTAGTTAGTTGATTATCCTAAACATGAATATTTTAACTGAAAGAGAATAATTCATACAATATAAAAGAGATTAGACTAGTTTCATACAATTATAAGATTCCTACAAGAATTAATTTCACATCTTAAGAAATAAAAGCAAGAAGAAAATAACTAATTACAAAAAGAAAAAGAAAAGAAAAATCTAAACTATATATGAACAAGAAATAAATCTAACTATAAAGAATTAAAATCTAAACTACAAAATAAATTACAAAAATTAAATACAAAAACATAAATCTACTCTACAAATTAAAGTGTAAAAAAATAAAAAGACAAGAAAATAAATCTATACTACAAGCATGAATGTAAATCTAACTAATAAACAATAATAAAGAAATTACTAAAAAGAAATAAGAAATGCAAACCTTCAAATTGTTCTTCATCTCCATCCTCATCATTCAACAAAGAGGAGAAAAAAATTTAAAGTAGAGAAAAATTATTATTATTAATTATAACAAAAGTTATAATTTTTAGAAGGCATTCTCAATTAAGAGTAGCCCTCCTCTCCAAATGGAGTTATAAAATTTTTCACACCTCTAACCCTCCACTCTCTACCCCTATTTATAGTAAACATCAGTGAATGAGAGCCGTTATATCGAAATCTTATCCAAAAATATTAAAAATCAGTCATAGATCCGTAACTAACTGTACGTCATATCGATGCCAGCATCGATAGGGGTATCGATGCTGACATCGATACGGGCATCGATGCTGGCATCGATGCCCCTATCGATGCTGGCATCGATGCCAGCTCTTCTCTGATTGCTGTCCGAACTTATTTCTTCTTGTGGGCTTTGGGCTTGGACTATTCGACAATTCTTTGAATTCTTCATGTATTTGGTTTGGGTTTTGGCATTTCTTGGGCTTTACTTCTTCTTCTTAGCTTGGGCTTTTGGATAATTTAGAAATTAATTTTTCAATTGGCTTCTTTGCTTCATTTCTTTATTTAATCAACGAGTTTTTGTTGAGAGATGAGAGTTTGAGATTTATTTTTTATTAACCTATAATTAAAGATAAAAACAGTTATTAGTGGTATATTTATTTATATAAAATAGATAATGAGGGTATAAAACTGTAATAAAATGTGATTATCAATTTGATATGATCAACAACTATATTATTATTACTTGTATTATCTAGTGAAAGAGAAAATGTTTTTTCTAAAATTTTTAATTTTTTAAGTTCTTCAATTATTAAATTTATAACATTAATATCACTATGTGAATCTTCAAATATAATAAATAAAATAACTCTTTTAAACATTTGTCAATTATCATAAATCCAACGTGTTGTGATACATAAATAACCATTTTGTACTGTAGATGTCCAAATATCAAAATTAAAGAAAATTTACAGTTTAAATTTTGAAAATAAAAAACTATTTTTGCTTGTTCCTCGTGATAATATTTTAAAATATCACGTTGACAAGTTTGACGAGAATTTTCTTTAAATACGGGATAAAAACCATCTATAAACATATATTCAAATTCATCATCTTCTACTAATTTAAAATAAAGTTTTTTAAGAATAATAAACCTGATGACATATTTTCAGACTCGGATTGCGTCATAGTTGTAACTACCAAGACTACCGGAAGATGATGATTGAGAGAGTAAAGATTATCAGATATCGCCTTGAGGCGTTGTTTGACCCTTGTTGTGTTTCTCTAAATGGTGTTTGTGGTGGTTGGTGTCGCTTTTATTATGAGCTTGGAAAATATGGCCACACAACGCATACTTAGCCTTCTGGGTGAGAAGCCTACCGTATTGATCCCTGGTGACTTCTATCTTCTTGAAGAACTTCCACACATCGGATCTCGGCCTTTTAGGAGCTTTAGGTGCAGAATCATCGCCACCGGATTCGTGATCAACATTGGTAAGAGTAGTAGGAGTAATTATAGCTCCTGTAGTAGGAGTATTAGGACTCATTTCAACATCCAGTTTCATTACAGACATCTTGGACTTTAGAGTGAAGGCTTTAGAGCTGAGTTGGGAGCAAACTCTAGAAAATATCTCTCACAGCATATTCTTGAGTTGAGGAAAAAACACCCTCTGCTTGGCAGTGATTATGGAGGAGATCTTGTCATAGACATTGGAGGCAAACTTGTTGAGGATGTGCTGGAGGTCAGTAGTGGCAGAGAGGGAGGCGGGAGAGGGAGACTGTGAGGATGAAGGGTGTGCTCGAAGTTGGTGGTGGCGAATAGGGAAGTGGAAGAAGGAGACAACAGGACCGGAGCATGCACCCAAGGTCGGTGGTGACGGAGTGGGAGGCAGAAGAGGGAGATGGTGTGGTCAAAGGGTGCACTTGAGGTCGTGTGTTGGTAAAGAGCGAGGAGAGAGAGGGGGGTGTCGGTGTTGGAGGAAAAAAGGAGGAAGAGAGAGGAGGAAGGTTAGGGTTAGTAAAGAGGAGGAGAGGAGATGGAGGAGCGGCAATGAAGATTAAGATTAGGAGAGGAGAGAGGAGAAAACAAGGGTAGTCTTAGATTTTTATTTTTTTCTCTCTGTGCTCTCGGTAGTTAGTAGGGAATAAGAGATGAAAAATATCATTGTATTGTACATGGGCTTTTTATATAAAGATAAAACTACAATGGGCCAGGACGCATCAAGTTCTCTCATTTGGGGCCTTAACGTAATTTTTCTTTTTGTTAAACCCTTACAAGTAGATTTACTTAT